ATCTGGTTGCCTCTCTTTTGGGGACAGTAGAAGTCATTGATGATCATAGCCCAGGAACTGCAAAATACTAACATTTTATAGTTCTGCTTTGATAAGCTGAAATATTTAAAGAATAATTGTCCTCATCAGTTATTCACTTACTCTAAGGTATAATTCATGACACAATATAATATAATTCGTGACAGGTATAATTCTCTCCTGTCTAGGAGAGACACTTATTTTCCTTTATTTGCAGGTTTTCATATTAATGAGTTAATTCCCTAACATTTTCCAAAGTTGAACATTTTTAAATGTCATTACAGTCCAATGGATGTAATATTTTGTATGTTAAGTCTATTGCAATTATTATTCTAACTGATGCTCAAGTTTTCTCTTTGCAGAGAGAGCCTTTTGAAGATGGCACAACCTCATCTCGTACATGTTCTGCCCCTGACATAGAATCGGTTATTTCTCCAAGGAGCCCTGGTCCCTTAGAGGAAACTGACATTTAGAAATTGGATTTTTTTTTCAGTCCTTAGGATCAAACCTAGGGCCTCATATATGCTAGGCAAGCACTCTATCACTGAGCTGCACCTTCAGTCCTTTTTAGTCTTTGAGACAGAGTCTCACTAGTTGCCCAGGCTGGCCTCAAGCCTGTGATCCTCCTGCCTCAACATTCTAAGTAGCTGGGATCACAAGCTTGCACCACCGTGTCTGGCAATATTTAAAATCTGGACACTGGGGGTGCTTATTACTCTCAAGTTGTTCCTGTTTTGGAGGTTTCTCATTGAAGACAACTAAGAAATGCTTTTTAAAAGAAAATGCATTGTAGGGCTGAGGCCATAGCTCAGTGGTAGGTCATTTGCCTAGCACATATGAGGCACTGGGTTTAATCCTCAGCACCACATAAAAATAAAGGTATTGTGTCCATCTACAACTAAAAAAATATAAAAGAAAAAAAAAGGAATTGCACTGTTGCTAAAAGGTAAAAGGTCCTAAATACCATTGTCACTTCCCATCATAACACATACCCAAGAATCTCAGAGCGGCCACGCCAGTATTACCGACAACATGACTACTGAAAATAATCTTCTCCTTATTCATCATTTTTAGTTCTTTTGTTCTTTGATATCCTACCAAGGATGAGCTATCAGATTACTGTTTTAAAATCTCCTTTAAGTAGTTTCTTCCTGTGTGATTATGCTACCAACTGATATAGTATCGTGTTCAAATTCTTGGTGCATATCAAATTTAATTTTTCTTTTTATTTATATAAAATAGTTACATAGTTCCAAAGTTCAATCTATAAAAGAAGATACATTTGGGGAAAGTGTTGCTTATAACCTACCCTTTCTGCCCTGTTCCCTCCCTTTGTCCATGGATAAACCTTTGGTTTTGGTTTACTTTTTTATTCATTATTAATCTGATTGAACATTAATACTTTAACATTAATTTGACTTTTAATATTAGCTCTTTCTTAGATAAATAGAATCAAATTTTACCCAGTATTCTCTATGTTGCTTTTATTCACTCGGCCATATATTCTGGGGACCACTCCATAACATTGTATAGCATATTCTTTGTTTTTTGTTTCACAGCTACATAAATAGATTGTTTCATTGATTACCCTAGTTTATTCAGTAGATTCCTATTGCTAAAATTTGAGCTGTTCTCATTCTTTTGCTATTACAAATTGTGCTGTCTTGTATAGCCTTGTGCAAATAAATGTGTATTTTTTTCTTTTTTTTTTACATTTTGCCAGTAGATCTTTGGAACAGAGTTCTAGAAATAGAATTGCTGTGTCAGAGAGTAAATGCATATGAATTTTGCTGTTTATTACCACATTTCTCTCCATAGGGGTCTGCCATTTTTTATTTCCACCAGCAAATCACCAGAATTCCTGGCTTTTGCAGCCTCTATGACCTCAAACTTTGGGTGTTGCCCACCTGATGGATGAGAAATAATGTCTCATTATAGTTTTAGAATGAATTGTTCTTATTAAAAATGAAGTTGAGCATCTTTTCAAGTGCTTAAGGGACAATTGCATTTAGAATCCTCCCCTCCAGATCCCAGCCCGGCAACTACCACTCTCCCTGCAGTATCAAGACAAGCAACAGGAAGTGAAGAACTGAGTTAATAGAGAGGTCATTTGGCACTCACAGGAGCAGAAGACATTAACTAAGAGAACTAATGAAGCAATAGAGCAGATAAAACCAACTGGTGTCCACCAAAGGAAGGGGCTGTGTTTCCCTCCCTGCAGGTTATGGGAGGGTTGTGTTGAGATAGATACCCTGCATGGAGAGTGCTGGGGAGGCAATAGTGACTGGGTAGTCCAGGGATTCCTGGAGATTAACTACAGAGGTCACAGTTCAGCGACCAGAGATGCTGAGCCTGTGCTGATCTACAGCCGGGAAAGAGCCTCAGCTCACTGCTGAGACCCAGTGCCTGCCTGAGAACCTTGGGACGTAGCAACAGGCACAGCTCCCCCACCTTCAAGGTCTAACATGTCCATTGAAGGAGGAGAGAGAAGCATTAGGAGGTTCAGTGAGATGATAGATGGATTTTGAAAACTGGTGTTCCCCAGAAATGACAATACACATGTGTGGTTTATTCCCTCAATGCTGATGATGTAAGTAATGTGTCATTACTTAGTCTCTATGCCTCCATTCACCAAAATGGGGTAATGACCCCCTTCTATGTAATGAGGACCATAATGTGTGTGTCTTTTATCATTGCAGTTGTCACTCAATAGTACACATCAAGTCCTAGCACTTGGTGAGCTGTCCAAACACTTGCAGAGGGACTTGGAGACAGAGGTCTCAAGGTTAAGTCTCAGCTCCAGCTTCAAGAGCTCAGTGTCCTTGATCTAGTGTCTCAACTGGCTTGGCCTTATTTTCTCCCCCTGGAAAGTGGGGATAATGACCTCACAAGGCATGTGCATTTAGATGTGATAATACACATGAAGAGTTGACAGCTCCTGTTGTTGTTGTCGTCATCATCATCATCATCATCATTATCTTTGTTAAAGTTCCTAATATAATTTTCTATTAAGACTATTGATAACTATTTTAGATAATTCCAGAAAGTTATAGAATTGAGAAAAGAAGAATGGGGTGCATTTGGCGGTATTCTTTTTTAAAAAATTTACTGTTCTTTTTAGATATACATGACAGTAGTAATATGTACTTTGACATATTATACATACAAGGAGTATAACTTATTCTAATTAGGATCCCATTCTCATAATTGTACATGATGTGTAGTTTCACTGTTCGTGTATTCATATATGAACAGAGGAAAGTTGTATCTGATTCATTCTACTCTCTTACACATTCCCATTCCCCCTCCCTTCCCTTCATTCCCCTTCTCAGCCACAGAGAATGAAATCAGGGCATTTGCTGGTAAATGGATGGAACTGGAGACTATCATGCGAAGTGAGATAAGCCAGTCCCAAAATACCAAAGGCCAAATGTTCTCTGTGATGTGTGAATGCTAACACAAAATAAAGAGAGGAGGGAAGAACAGAAGTTCATTTGGCTGTAATCTATGAAACTGGTTACCTGGAGAAATCTACAAAATTTTGCAAAGAGAGCAGCACCCTGTAGCTCATTTAATTCTTTCTTAGTTCTGCTAAGGAATGTTCTGGCCTCCCGTAGCTCCTCAGAAAGACGGTCCAAAGGAAACAGGGGTTCCTTTAAAACCAGGAGGCTGCTTATACTATGATCCTGGTTCTCTGCTGCCCTAGTCTGAATTCAGACTCTATGACTTGCAAACCCCAGCCAGTTCCTGAACCTCCAGACACCTCAGCTTCCTTAGGAGCTAATAATTGTGCCAGCCTCACAGGAGCATTTGTTTCCTGAAGAGTGAACCTGACTATGTGTGCATCTGAATGTGTGATGTGAAGGGAGCGCTTGATCTGGGACAGTGGTGCTGACAGAGGTGACAGCCTTAGCGGTGGGTGGTGATGCCACCCTCATCATCAGCCCTGAGCGGGTAGACTGTAAACAGACAACCCCAGAAGAACAGGATGGCCGAAGAACAGGATCACACAGCACTTGAGCTCTGTAGTTCAATTCAGGTGAACAGCGGATCTGCTCGTTGGAGTCATTTAAAGGTCTGGGCAGATGGGTCTGCCATCTTGACACCTGCTTCCATTGTGGAGAGACAGGAAACAGGGCAAGTCATGCCCTGGTTCCTACTGTTTCCTCCTTGGCGTGATGCGCAGCTCTTCTGTCTCATTTTATTGGTCCAAGCAGTCACGTGACCTTGCTTCCACTTCCAAAGAGTGGGCCATGAAATCTACTGTGGGCCCTGGAGGAAGAGTCCTGGAATGGCCCTAATGTCCACCACAGGAGTCAGGATCTAGTTTCAGGGTCAGGCAGGAGTGACGGGAAGATGCAGGTGAGAATGGGGGAGCTGAGTGATGGGAGGCCAAGGAAAGGAGAGGACAGGCTTTGCAAGACCAGGGACAGCCAGGAAACGTGGCAAGGCCTGTCAGCGTCTTGTGGAGTTGCTGCAATGGCTACATTGATCCATCCTTTTATTCATTTATTCGATAGTCATAGATGACTGTGGGCCAGGCACTGTGTTAAATTCTGGGGATACCAAGCTGTGAAAGAGATCAGTATTAGTGCCTGCACCCCAAGCTGAGTGGGGACTGGCCGCTCACTCCCTAGTGTGGATAGGAGGAGGTAGGCCCAACAATGCCTCTGCCTTAGGCCTGACAATTAAGGAACAGAGAAAAAGCCAGTATGACCCAGATTTCGCTGCACTTCTGCCCTTCTAGACTGAGTAAAGGGCTTTGTTTAAAGGATTCTTTTCATTTCTCCCCTCTGGCCTTTAATAAACTTCCCAATGATGTAACTCAGCCCATCATGAAGGTTCCGATAGGCAAAACTCACAGTTTTGGTGATGAGAAACTGAGACGATCCTTGTTGGCTGGTCTAGTGGATAGAGATGTATTTTGTGTGCTTATTCATTTGTCCCCCAAGAATGCAGCTTCTCTCCCTCTGTCCTCCCAGCTCCCTGCGGTGGCCACCTGACTTCGCCCAGCGGCACCATCCTCTCTCCTGGCTGGCCTGGCTTCTACAAGGATGCGTTGAGCTGTGCCTGGGTGATCGAAGCCCAGCCAGGCTACCCCATCAAAATCACCTTTGACAGGTGCTGGGCACTGCGGCCTGGGGGACAGGGCGATGGAGTGAGGGGAGGGGCAGACGCCAGTACTGTCAAGGCACCATCAGAGGACACTGGGGCCAACTGCCCTGGGGGGAGGACTCCCTGGCTTTGCCCTTGGGCTTGGCTTGTGCTGTGGGGGTCCTGTGACTGGACAGGGGAGAAGGCTGGGCTCTCACTCAGGATGCCAAAGCCTGCCCTTCTCTTAACCCCCAAGGATGGAGAGTGGCAGATGGACACCATCAGATGTTGAAGCCAGGCACGGCATCCGAGGACTGTAACTCCAAAACTTCTAATAGGAGGGTGGTCTTCCTGACCTTGGTCCCAAATCCTCCACATGCCCCACGTCTACTCCCACCCTGCCTCTGCCCCTCAGTGGGAGATATGGATACAAACTTCTTCTGGACAAAGCATCCATGACCTGAAACAGCAGTCTGCAAATTTTTCTGGGAAGGAGCAGATAGTAAATCTGCTAGGTTTTTTGGGTTTCTTGCTCACTTTCAGATCTCTGATGCATATTATTTTTTGCTTCTTTGTTTTCAAACATCCTTTACCAAATGTAAAAACCATTCTTAGCTCTCAGGCTGTATGCCATGTTTGGTCCTAGGGCTTTAGTTTATTGACTCCTGGCCTAGGAGCTAGGCCTGGTGCCTCCAGGTCTTAAGAACCCAGGCCGTAGAGAAGATTGGAGAGCTGCATCTGACCAAGGAGGACGAAGGGCAAAGCTCAGTAGAGAAGGTCCTTGCCATATCACTAGTAAATGTGTCCAAATTATATTAAAAGACCCCAGCCTGCCAAACTCTGGGTGTCTGAAGCACTGAGTCAGGCAGGGTTTTCATCATTTGCAAATTAATAAGCCTTGGGTTTCTCAAGAGGTCTTCACTTGCGTCATTTGACAGATTTAAAACTGAGGTCAACTATGACACCCTGGAAGTACGAGATGGACGGACATACTCAGCGCCCTTGATCGGGGTTTACCACGGGACGCAGGTCCCCCAGTTTCTCATCAGCACCAGCAACTACCTCTACCTCCTCTTCTCTACGGACAAGAGCCACTCGGACATCGGCTTTCAGCTCCGCTATGAGAGTGAGTCTCATAGAGTAGGAGAGGGAGGCAGATGACAAGGTTGGCGCAGGCGGGTGAAGGGACCTGGGGCTGTGCACCAGTAAGACCAGATCCAGCCATCCCGTGGCACTCCTGGCTAGGCTGTCCCCTTTGGAAGGTACTCCCTTACTCTCAGCATCACTCAGGGATCATAGGAGCTAAGAGTTGCTCATGACCTTCATGCTGGATCCCATGTTCATACTCCATGGCCTCCTCTGGGTGCAGGTGACTGGGTGCCACGGCGCCAGCACTCTGGGGACAGAGTATTTGATGAACCATGAACTTGAAGTGGAATGGCAGCTCTCACTCACACTGCCCTCTCACATCATCTTCTGCACCTCTCCCCTTGATTTAAAGGATCCATGTCACTGCAATTCTTTGCAGACCAAAGTAGAAAAGATTGGAAGCACCATGAGGACAGGGTCATTTCTTATTCATGTTTATATCCCTAAGCCTTAGCCTAGCACCTGCACCACAGCTGATGCCCAGCTAATGTTTATTAATGAATGAACCAACAAGCAAGTGATCTCCTATTCAAGAGAGAGGTCTTCAAGCCAGGCCCCATGGCCCACACCTGCACTCCCAGCTACTCAGGAGGCTAAGGCTGGAGGATTGCAAGTTGAAGGCCAGCCTCAACAACTTAAAGAGACCCTGTCTCAAAATAAAATCAAAAGGGTTGGGGTTGTAGCTCAGTGATAGAGAACTTGCCTGGCGTGTGCAAGGCCCTGGGTTTAATCCCTAATACCATAATAATAATTTTTTTTAAAAAAGGAAGAAAAAGAGATAGGTCTTTAGACATCCTCTCCACAAAAAAATAATGGCCACATTTCATGAGTGCTAATAGCAACTTCAGCCCTTTGTAAATCCCTCCTCTCTCTGGGTCAGCTGGTGTCCCTCAGTGGGGATGGTGCACATTCTATTCCAGCTGTGACCTCTTTCTTCCAGCTATCACACTGCAGTCAGACCACTGTCTGGATCCAGGAATCCCTGTCAATGGACAGCGTCATGGGAATGACTTCTATGTGGGCGCTCTGGTGACATTCAGCTGTGACTCGGGCTACACACTGAGTGACGGGGAGCCCCTGGAGTGTGAGCCCAACTTCCAGTGGAGTCGAGCTCTGCCCAGCTGTGAAGGTGAGGCCCATCAAAGGGACAAATGCCTTTCCTGCCAGGAAAACCAGGAGCTGAGACGGCCACTGATTCCTGGACCCCATAGGGAAGACGGGGGCTTGGGGAAGAGGTGGGGCAGCGGGCACCTAGAGCACGTGGCGTAGCTCCCTGAGCCACTCTGGTCTTCACTGCCCTCTTCACTTCTGTAGCTCTCTGTGGTGGCTTCATTCAAGGCTCCAGTGGGACCATCTTGTCACCAGGCTTCCCTGACTTCTACCCCAACAACCTGAACTGCACTTGGGTTATCGAAACCTCGCATGGCAAGGGTAAGTGTTTGGGCAAATATTGGGAAGTGACCCAAGGTCAGGCCCTAAGCTCCCAGGTCAAGGCAACCTCAATGGGGATTTCCCTAGAGTGATGTGTAAGCACAGTCTGAATATTTCTCAGCAGAACCTCTCATCTCTTTGAATCACAGAACTCATTCAATAAATATTGTTGAGAATCCAAAATTGCCAAAGAGATCATACTGGTAACCAACCATGGAATCCATCCCATCAGAGCCAGGAATCCTCTCTAAACACCTCCAGTGGGGATGTCTCCCACCCCTTCCACAGTGGTCACAGACTATCATTTTTGATAGTTCATTTCCCTCCTTATAGCCTATTAGGTGGCTCTGAAACCCATGTCCCTTTCCTATGTCCTGGAAGAACAGAGGGCACCTCTGCTTCCTCTGCCTCATATCACCCCTTCAGATTCTGAACACAGTAATTCCCTTCTCGTGCAGCTCAGCTCTTCCCCGAACATGCATACATGTTCCTCCTGCGCTGTTGCCCCAGCTCCCCTAACCTAAGTGGTCTTTGGGAGTCCAAGTTCAAAGTCAGGGTGCTGGTTATAAATAAGCATTAGTTAATATACTCTTTCATCCAACAAATATGCTTTAAACGCCACCCATGTGGGAGATACTGGGGCTGCGGGAACCCCACAGGTGTGGAAGGTTATTCCAGAGCCTCTGTAGGGTGCTGTCTCCTGCCCCTGGTCTGGCAATGTTAATGCTGAGTTAATGCCAAGGCTCCACCCCAGAGGCATTGCTTCTCTACGTTGGGGGTAGAAACCAGGCATGTACATTTTGAGGACATGTACACTCCGAGGCATGCCTTTAATTAAGAACCTCTGATCTAGAAGAAACCAGGAAAAAGAAGAGCCCCGGGAGAGGGGGAATGAAGTGGAAGAATACCCTTTCCAGATATTCAAATGTTGTTATGGGCTAAGAAAAATGTGAGCAGCATGGCAGGAGCACAGGAGTGGACATTCAAATCAGTGAGGGACGATAAAGATCCAGAAACAACCCCCCCCCCCGTGTGTGTGTGTGTGTGTGTGCACACGCATGTGCTTGTGGATGAGTGAGAGGGAGACAGACTTCAGCATATGATTAAAGTGTCATTTCATTTGAAGAAAAGAATTTAATAAATGGTGTTAAAACAGTGAGCTTAACCATTGGGGAAAAGATCTTAATGAAATCAACCAAATTATGCTATGTCCATGAACAATGAATCCCACTTTTATGTATAATGTATAATTAAAAGGCACAAATTAAAAAAAAAAAAGTAGAAGGGAGACCGGTAGAGTAGAGGAAGAAGATCAGGGGGAAGGAGGAGGAAAGGGAAAGGGGAGGTACTGGGGAATTAGACTGATCAAATTATGTTATATGCATGCACAAATATGTCACACTGAATATCACTATTGTGTATAATTACAATGCCCCCATAAAAAAATTTAAAAGGATTTTTTTTAAAAAAATCCAATCCATACTTTATACATTTAGCCACATACATTCCAGCACTAGGAAAACATGGATCTCTAACCTCAGCTGAGGAAGCACCTTCCTGAACACCCAAAGCAGAATCTGCAAAGGCAAAGACTGTTAGATTCAATTAAGTAAAACTTTAATAGGATTTATGTAAAGAAAGCTCCATAAAAAAATGCAAAGTCAAATAGTAAATAGACAAAAATATTTGCAATATATATAATTGACTGAGGATTACCAGCCTGGTGCATACAGAGCTCTTTAGAATTTCTAAGAGAAAGAAGCCTGGCCCACCAGCCTGCAGAAAGAGCAAAACTATAAACAAATGCTTCCTAATTGCAAAAACACAAATTGAAAAATATCAACCCCATCAATAATGAAAGAAATGCAATTTCAGCCGGTAGCAAAATCCCATCTTCCTTTTCAAGTCATCAAAGAAAAGCTTCACTATGGGGAAAGGAGCAGAAAAGTAGGCCCTTCCTCCTCACCTGGTGGTTTGGTGATAGGAATCAAAAGTCTTCAAAAGATACATGCCTCTAGACATGCAATTCCACACACTGGAATTTACCTGCAGAAAATAAGTAAAACCACACATTTAGATATAACAGCCAAAGTGTCCCCTAAAACATTTATTTATGATATTGAAAACTTAGGGACGATTCAAATGGGCATCTGTAAGAAAGCATGAAATAAACATACAGTTGTATGTTGGGTGAACAGACTGCTAGGCTGCTGACTTGGATTGTCCCTGAAACTCCAGCTGGGGAATGTTCATGGAATGAAAAACTAGGAAAAAATGGGAGAATATTTACAGATCTATGGAAGTGGTGGCAAAAATTGTTAAGAAACAAAGCTTGCTAAAAGATAGTTTTTGCTAAGGAGGATATTTGCACAGAAAATGGTCTAAAAGATTTACCCAACGATTTTAACACTAGTTTTCTCTTATTATTCTCATTTTTGCTTTTTTTCCTGATTTTGAGCAATGAATATATATTGCATGTAAAATATGCTATTTGTACAAAAAAAAAGAAAATTATTTCTAATTTCATCATGTGTACTTAAGTGCTTCACTTTGGTCTAGATGAGCCCTTCCCTGGCCAGGTCTCAGATGTCCCAGAGCTTCTCCAGGCAAGGCAAGACCCTCCAGGCAGTCCAGGGAAGCCCCCTAGAGTCCTTGGAGGGACAACCTCTGTGGTCATGATTTTCTGTACAGGGGCAACTGAGATCATCAGGGTGAATGTTCCTCTATGTCTTTGCTTAGAAGTCAGTGTAGCTCATCAACTACTTAACAAATGCTTATTGATGCCTGCCCTCAGGAGTTTATGGTCCAGGGCTAGACAGGCAGCCTAAACACAGAGCTCAGAGCAGCAGCATCTCTGTGTAGTGGAACACACATCTGCAGCCTGGCCCAGGGGGTTAGGCAGGAGGCCTGGATCTGAGACATAAGCTTGTCTTCCAGAAGGAACAGGAATTAGCTAGGATGAAATGTGCTCACGCAGAGAACCAACAATCATGCCTGAATAAGTGACTGCTTCTTCCTCAGAACCCTGACTTCCCCTAACCCTTAGCACAGGGCCCCAGGGCTTAAGGCAGTGAGCCAAGCCCTTCAGCCTGCCTTGCCTTTCTGGGCCTCATGCTGAGTCCTCAGAGTTCAGCCTCCACAGGCCTTTGTTCAGGCCCCGGAGCTTGCCAAGTTCTTTCTTCTCTGGGGCCCTGCACTTTTGTCTGAGTTCTCTCTTCCTCTCGAGGGGGGTATGGAGGCTCCCATTCCCTTTGCTTGACCAGCTCTTCAACTTTCCATGCTCGCTTCCTCTCACCAGCCTCCCCTGTCCTCCTCTCTCCAGCATCCAGGTTGAGCTTCCCTCCTGGGGAGCTCCCACAGACCCCCGTTCTTCCCCAGGCCTCACCCCACTTGAACTTTCACCACCTGCCCACAGACCTGAACTCTTTTGCTTCCTGCAGTTCTGCCTGCCCAGCTCCACACCTGGCACCCAAGGAACCCCAGAGGTATTTGGAGACACGCGTCTGACCCCAGATCCTTCTACTCAATCTCTGCTCCTAATATGTTGGGTGAACAAACCGCTAGGCTGCTGACTTGGATTGTCCCCAAACACTCCAGCTGGGGAAATTCTAAACTTTAGGAAACTCAGAATTGCCCAGCTGGCCACTCCAAGGGAGTGGGCAGTTCAGGAGGCTGGAGAATGTGCCCTTGCAGAGACCCCAGGACTGCAGCTTCTTAACCCACAGGGTCATCTGGGGCTAGGCTGAGCCGAGCAGAAAACACCTGTGGGTGCTCACCTGATGAGGGCCAGGGCTTCGGGCTTTGTATATGCCATCCCAATGTGCCACCTGTGAGGGAGGGATCAGCATCCACACACACAGCTAAGGACACACACATGCAGTTCTGGATGCAGGCCTTCAGCTGGTAGATGGGCGTTTGATCCCTGCCTTTCCTGCCCTGGTGCAGGGTTGATATCACTCCTACTGTTCTGCCCAGTTCACTCCAGTGTGTACATCTGTCACACCAAATCTGGATTCAAACTCCAACATGGGGCCTCTCTGTTTCTGTGACAATGTCTTCATTTTCTCACAACGGCCAAAACAGCCCCAAGCAATCAGCACAGCTGGGAACCCCAGGGGTTTCATCTCGGTTGGGTTGTTTGCTCATCCTTAGAATCCCTGCCAAATGTTTACTCCTTCGGAGGGGCTGTATTTGCATGCTAGAAGAACAGTGCAAAGCTTGGTGCTTCATCCTGCTACTGTATCTGACCCGCTCTCCACCCAACCTGATGTTCTAGCAAGGAGGGGGCACATACATTTCCCAAGCTCAGTAGTTATCTGCACACATTTTGTGTGTCAGGAGTATAGCACACATGGAGGCACACATGTCCACATGCCTCCTCTGCACATGCTCACATCTCTTATGCCAAGGATCGTGTCCCTATGTGAAGCCCTCAAAGCAGAGTTCCCCGTCCTTCCTCATGCCCCATGCTGGATTCTCACCATTGATGTATCTGTCTCCTCTACGAAACCAAAAGTTGTTTCTCTTCTTAAGCACTAGGCTTGGTACTTGGTAGGTGCTTAAGACCCATATCCTTGAACAAATAGATACATAATTGCATCTCGATTGCCTGCAAACCAGTAATTTGCAAACCACAACCTACCACCTCTGCTAGGCTATGTCTCTCCAAACCCTACTCAGAGAAGCTCCAATACTCCAGGATCACCAGATCTTATCCACAGGGAGGCAAGAATAATAAAACTTTTAAAATGCTCTATTACAGGCTTGGATCCATCATCATTTATTAAAACTTCATCAGTAATTATCTAGGAAAGTATTTCTCAAACTTTTAGGTGCCTATAAATCAAACAGAGGTAATTCTGCATTTCTAGCAAGCTGGTCATGGACCACACTTTGAGTAGCAGCTGGGCCCAGCACTCCCAGTCTAACAGTGCAACTTTCCTCTGGCACCATCATAACACATGTCCCCATGAACACAGACTTGTTGGAGGCCTTGCATTGACATCTGTACCCAAGCAAGTACAGCTGCTGCCACCTGGACAAGTTTGAGAGCTGCTTTGGGTGTTAAGTTCCTGCTGCTCCATAACCTTACTCACTACCGACCCTCTCAGCACCTGCCACCCTCCCACCTGTCTCCTTTTGTGGCCTAAGAGGCGACATCCTGGAGTGGCTCAGCAGTGAGGCCTCAGATGCCCAGCTGTACTACCTGCCAGCTGAATTACCCTGGACAAATGACTTCATGCCTTTGTGCCTCATTTTCCCCTAGTGTCGACGTAGGACAGATGAGGCTAGACACCCGAGGAATTTTCAGGAAGCAAGTTCATTTAAGCCCCTCCCACAAGCCCCGTCCACACTGGTCCAGTGCACATCAGCCCACATTCCACCTGTTCTTCCGGCCTCCTTTTCTTCCACTTCATCCTCCTCACGGTCACCAACATCTTACTGGAATTGAAATTTGATGTACTCTGGATAGGAAGGCTTCTTATGACCTCCAGAACAGTGACTGACTGGCCCCACCTACCTTTCCAGCCTCAGTTTCCAGTTATCTCCCACCACAGAGCCCTGGGAGGGACACCTTCTCTGTCCCTTGACATGGGCTGGTCCTGTATCTAGGATGCTCTTTCTTACCTTCCCCAGTTAACTCCTGTGTTTCTGAAGCTGCCCCCCACTCCCCCTTCCTGCTGTGAAGGGCTGTCCATGTCGCCCCCTGGCACGCTGATCTACATTTCCTTAGAGTTTTCATAGTTCCATTTTGTAGCCATTTGTCTAATGCCTCGTGAATCCCCTTGCACTTCACCCTGGATCCCAGCCATAGGACATATTCAACAAATATGCAAATATTTGCTGGATGAATTAATGACTGGCTATGAAGCATCCTCTCAAACTGAGCCATAAATCCCCCTTTCAAATGCTGACAGCCATAAAGAGCTGTCCATCTCCCTGCCTGGGTCTTTGGGTCATGGCAAGTTCAGGTCCATCCACTGGTATGTTGATCCACAGATGCTTGTAGTTGGACACGCTGACAGGTAGGTGCAAATAGGAAAGGTCTGGGCAGGTCCTGCCTCGAAACTGGGCTGCTTCAGCCGCCTCCCCGCGGCCAGCTGGACCCCTCTGGTCTCTCTGCAGGTGTGTTCTTTACCTTCCACACCTTCCACCTGGAGAGTGGCCACGACTACCTCCTTCTCACCGAGAACGGCAGCTTCACCCAGCCCCTGAGGCAGCTGACCGGCTCCCGGCTGCCCGCGCCCATCAGTGCCGGGCTCTATGGCAACTTCACGGCTCAGGTCCGCTTCATTTCCGACTTCTCCATGTCCTACGAAGGATTCAACATCACCTTCTCAGGTACAAAGTGTGGGGGTCCCTGGGGAGAGGAGACCGCTGCACCATTCTCTCTCTCCTTCTGCTGCCAGACTCTGGTCTTCTAGTAGATGTACAGTAATCACTCCCCTGTCTCTGAGAGAATGACCTCAATGCTACAGCTAAAGATATTTCGATTAGATCCATGGAAGAACTTCTGTATAATGGTCTTGGAAGGAATTAGCAGGTTCCTTGAGGAATCTCCTACTCTGATTCAGGATTTGCTCTGAACATGACCTACCCAGCTGGTGGCTTCAAATAGCTCCTAGAGGATTCACAAATGTCCCTTCCTGCCCTAGTAATTCCAAATTCTTCTCTTGATTCCACTTCCACTATTTTACAACTCCAGTAATTAACAAAGAAGAAGAAAGGGTGTGAAATTAACATACAGGAGTATTTTAGTCTCATTTGGGTGCTTCTTCATCAATGCTAATTTTGTAGTAATAGATATTTATCTCTGTGTCTAGGAATCCTGAAAAGAAACCTCTTTCATTTGGCATTCAGGGAAACATGTTCTCATGTGAAGCCCTCCTCCCCCCGCCCCCCCATGCTTGTCCCAAGGTGCCCCAGGGCCCCCTAACCCACCCCTACCTTCAGCAAGAGCAAGAATGCCAGATGGATTCCTCCCAGGATGGGCAGGAGATGTCAGCCTCTAGGAACAGGGATGTGGCCCAGCTTAGCCCTAACACCCCCGAACCCGGCCCTCAGGCAGAAGCCACCTGCCATGTTCCAGGGCAGTCCTGGCTGATGGGACATACCCAACCAGTGTACCTCAACTCAAATGAGAGAGATGCTCCTCCTCCACACAGCCCCAGAGGACTGCATCCCAGAAGGGAGATGCCCTGGAGGACAAGAGACAGTCGTTTCTATGCTGTCTCTAGAAGCGCCAGGCAGGTCCCTGGCCCATGAATGCCACCCCATCCTGCTTGCCATCTACCTCAACGCCAGCTTTCTGAGATCAAGCTTAGAGCAAAGCATTTGAAGTCCTTTGCTACTCAGGTCGCCCAAAGCTGTGTCATAGACTGACCCTCTGAAAGCCACTGACTGGATTGATCTGGTTCAGTGCCTGGAGGGGAAGAGTGGGAGAGTCGAGGGGGCCAGACGCATGGGTTTCCATGGAGATGGAGGGATGGAGAAGAGAGAGCCGAGGCCTGAGGCACCTGAGACTCTGCCAAAAGTTCCTCAGGAAGGAGACACTGTGCCCCAACCCTCTCCTCGGCCTCCCTGCACTTCTCTGGGCCTCTGCTCTTCTGTGGCTCGCCCTCCTTGCCTCCTCACTCTGGACTAGTGTGCACCTGGTCTGTACCTCTGTCTGTCTGTACTCTGGCCCTGTCCCCTGGCATTTGGGCCTCCTTGTTCTTATTTTCTTTCTCTGCACCTCCCGAGACGTCTCTGAGCCCAACCTTCCTGCTGCCCTTGCAGAGTATGACTTGGAGCCCTGCGAGGAGCCCGAGGTCCCAGCCTACAGCATCCGGAAGGGCCTGCAGTTTGGCGTGGGCGACACCTTGACCTTCTCCTGCTTCCCCGGGTACCGTCTAGAGGGCACCGCCCGCATCACGTGCCTGGGGGGCAGACGGCGCCTGTGGAGCTCGCCTCTGCCAAGGTGTGTTGGTAGGTGGTCACGTGCTTTCATTTTGCTTCACTTGATGGGGTGGGCCAGATGTAGCTGATCCCTGTGAGGTGGTGGACGCGCACGCCAAGAGGCAGAGGGAGCTGGGTTTGGGGACTAATGTAGCCTAAGCTTACCTGCAGCGAGACCTTGGGCAGGTGACCTCAACTCCTCTCAGCCGCCTTGTCTGTAAAATAGGCACAGTAATACCTACTCCATGAGGCAGTTCTTTAACCTAAACTGACCTTTGCCAAGTGAATTGCCCATGGGCTCTGAAATGAGGTTGACTTCAGTACTCTCACCTCCTGCCCTTACCATGCAGGCCCCTGGCTGAAGGATGTCTCTTGCAGGGAGATCTGGATGGGGCCCCGGGTGAGCCCTTTGCCTGAGTCTCAATCCAGGGCGTTGGGCGGGTGCTTTGACTAGTCCAATGTAAGGTCTTGCTCTGGAGAATCCTTTGGAAGGCAGCCCATCCAGCCAAGGAAGCAGGGACAGAATTTGGGTTCATTGAGAGAGGGCCCATTACACATCCAATGCGTACCTAGGTCCAGAAGATACGAAAGTGAACAAAACAGAGAAAGTCTCTCCATAGTGGCCTCCCACAATGGTAGAGAAATACAAGCCATAATACATAGATACGCAAGGTGTCCAGCAGTGTTAGGGGCACAGAGAACAATGAGAAAGACTCAGGATGTGTGGAGGTGAGGTTGTTTTGTGGCAAAGAGTGGGCAGCAAGGGCCTCTCTGATGAGCTGCGTTTTAGCAGTGGGAACAAAGCGCCAAGATGTAGCTGGTTAGGGGTTGGCAGAAGCCCCACCTGCCTCCTTGATGGATCCCTAAAGGCTGATCAGAGGCTTGGGCCCAGAGCATAGAGGGAAGTATGGTGATGGCCCAGGGAGCAGGACAATTGCTGGCTTCTCCTAATTTGTAAAACTCGCAGCTCTGCTTGCCCGAACCCACAGTGCAGGACAGGATGCAATGCAGGCTGAATTAGGGGAGTACTTACATGCTCACTGTTAGCCATGGAACTCACTTAAAGTGAAATATTACGTAAAACCCCATAAAAATATATAGAACTGATAGATCAAAGCAGCACTGCACAGACTGAAAGAGGCATCAGCATCACAACAGCTCCCGAGGGGCGGGGAGTGGCCCAGCAGCAGAGCACTTGCCAAACACAGGTGGGGCACTGGGTTCCATTCCCAGCATGCCAAAAAGAAAAGGAAAAAAGATAGGCCTATGACACGATGTCACCAAGGAGCCCAGGGCTCTGCAGAGGACAGCTGAACATTGAATAGGCTGGCAAGATGGACTGATCCGTCACTCAGGCCCCAAGGTCAAGTCTCTGGTCTGCCACTTACCATCCCTTAGAGCCACCAGACTCCTCAGCCTCATAAAGCTTCCTCATTTTTAAAGCAGAGATAAGCTCAGCCAACACCCAGGCCCTACTCCAGATGAGATGAAATAGTTGACATAAACAAGAAAGTGCCACATAATGACTATTTTGCCAATAACCTTTTTAGCCGTACTCATGGATAACTGTCATTTTGTCAATAACCTTTTACAGTCCCAGAGGGAAACATTAAGATAAAGAGTTGCAGAATTCCATCTTTGACCAATTAAATGATCTCAAAGTTCCTCCTTTCTCCTGTCCCCATCTCCCCCAAAGCATAGACTGTTGACCAGGACACACTCAGACACTAGAACGCCCCCTGGGAAGGTTTGGTTAATGCCCCCAAGTGCAGCAACTCTTGCCTCTGGGAAAGTGTCCTCAGAGAGGGGGTGTGGGAGATATTTTTCTTGAATGGAGATCTCCAGGCCCCCAGATGCTCACACGGCTGAGACTCTTGCCTCATTGATCTCATTACACGAACTCATCCTTTAACTTATTATTTCAATTACTGTTTGTTCATGACACCTCACAATATTTTAATTATTATTATTATACATTTGTCTTCTGTTTCACATGTTATTAATAACGCACAGCAATTATAATCACCTGTAATTACTGCCAGCCCTGTCGCAGAGCCTCATGCTGGAGGTGTCTTGGGAATGCCCACCCGGGGGGTGCACTGCATGCACTGTGGGTGTAACTGGGGTTATTTGGCTCATGTAGCATTACCAGAAACATTCCCATCTGAGAAGGAGATGAACAGCCTGGGCTCCAATTCATGGTGTGACAGGGGTGACATATCCCCTGACCTCTGGGGCCCCTGAATTTGATGTGGAAGAGACAGCCCTGACCCATTGGAACCCCAGTCTGCTGCAGGAGACATGGCCCTGTCCTTGGGAGCCCAGTGTGATGGAGAAGCCCTAACCCTCTGCCTCAGGAGCCCCAGACTGATGGATAAGATGCAGCCCCTGCCCTTAACAAGACCTCTCTTGACAGGGGCGACAGAAGTCACAGATGTCTGAATCAGCAGCAGCATTTTTCTCTGCACATGACTGTTTGTTTCTCTGGAACGTTTATTTGTTTCCATTTACACCCCGTTTGGCTTCTCTGTGCATCTGCTCACCTCCCCTGTTCCTTTGGAAACTCTCCCAGAAGCGAGTGCCACATTCCTCAACCACCCATGCCCTTCCTGGTACCCAGGACCAAGGCCCTGGCCAGGAGTCAGGACTTGATGACTGGCCAGGGACTGGCTGCATCTGAAGCTGTCAGCCCTGTGTCCTTCCTTAAAAAGGTGTCGGGCAGGTGGGAGAAACAAGAGGGTCATGCTGGGGCAGGGAGGCGACTCAGGAAGCCAGGGCTGGAAAGACAGTTCAAAAATATGCCAAGGCCCATGTTGAAAGGAAGCTGACTGCCAGGAACTGGGCAGAGGGCAAGAGGCATCAGGGACCGCCTGAGGGCCCTAGCTGAGGCATAAACTTTCCATAAGCTTCCCAGGCTTTCTGCCAGTCCCAGAGGATGGTCAGCTAGGGAATGAGTAGGAAGAGAGAGGAGGAATAGCACTGATTGAGGACCTACTATGTGCTAACCACGACTTCCCATTCATTCACTTTTTTACACAGAAAATCTGGTGCATTTGTTCTCTACAGCCTTAGGAGGGGCCCTATGATCCAGGCAAAGGCAGATAAAGATGAGATGGAGACTCAGAGAGTTGATATAACTTGTCTGTCTTCTCCAAAGTCTGTGCTCATCTCAGTGCACCACATGCCTCAGCCTAGGTGCAGGAGAGTATGTGGGATCCCAGAGACTGTGGGGAGACACCTCAGAGCTGTCTGTGGTATGACCGTGTACTAGTGTGTAACTGCCTAGTCTGAGGGCACTCATGAACTGCGCACTCTCTAGAAACTTGTCTACTGAAATTGTCAGCAGCCACTGTCCCGGGGTGCCTGGCTGCTACTACCATTGTCCTTCAGTTCAATGCCTCAGCTCGGCACATTCATTAGATACTTGGTTTACTTGGCAAACGAGCCGAGTTTAAAATCCACCAGGCTACTTTGCTCCTGTAAAATAAATAAATACATGCTTCTGTAAAGCTTCAGGAAACCAAACTGACCTGAACTGCACTGGCCCAGGGAGTAGGGCCAGTTGAAAAGTAGGGACTTGGTCACCATCTTCAAAGGACTAAGAGCAGCCTTGGGGACAAGAGAGCACACAAGCATATGACAAACCCAACAGGAGGTTCATCTCTGAAGGTGTCTATGTGCTCCATCTATGCTGCCCAGCTTAGGACAATTAGTGTCCTAAGAAATTATGGTCAAAGAATTAACAATTATAACCAAAGAAATGGCCTCTCGGTCAACATCGGAGTCCTTCCCCCAAAAAATTATGCCTAGAATAAGGACAGGAGGGCTGGCTTGGAGAAGGCAGCCTTGCTACCATCAACTGTAAACATTTAAGACATGCTCCAAACTCTCCATATGTCCAGAAAAATAATGAGCCTGCCATCTGGTCTTGTATTTACATCCTTCTGGAACCTAATTATTTTTAGGACTGTACCTCTTCTAAGGTCAGTGTATGCCATATTCATCCATTCATGCATTTGGCAAATATTTATTTTGCAGACCATCTGGGTTGAGCCTTGGAAAGTCATAGATTCATCAGGGATGACTCTGGCCCTCAAGTAACTCACAGTTTGAGTGGGGATTACAAGCAAGTAAAAGCAATCAGGGAGCAGGGTGTGATAGGTTCTCTGATGTAGGGATGCACAGAAAGGGGATTCATAATCAAAAATTCAAACAAAAGGAATGTGGTGGTACATGCCTGAATCCCAGCATCTCAGAAGGCTGAGGCAGGAGGATTGCAAGTTTGAGGGCAGCCTCCACAACTTAGGGAGACCTTATCTCAAAATTAAAAATAGGGAGGGCTGGGGATGTGGCTCAGTGATAAGCACCCCTGGATTCAATCCCAAGTACCAAAAAATAGAGAGCCACTGCAGGGTTCCCCAGATGTGCCCTGCCCCTGAGCTCTCTGCTTGCATCTTCTGAGGGTGTCCTGACCAGGCACTGGTTGGGCACTGGGAAGACAGAAATATGACCAAGGCCCACGGGATCACAGTGCAGTGAAGGAGACAGCAGTACTCACAAATAAGTCAAGTAAAATGTGATACCTGCTATAAATAACCGCATAGGAACAACAGGGAAGAAATGACTAATTCTAGAGGAGGAGAAACCAATTTCCAGGAGAGGGTGTGATTTCATTAGTTGTTGATGAAACAGGGTTTCAACAGGGGTGTGCCAAAACTTTCTCCAAAGCCTCAGGGGCCCTAAACTCCAGCGTGAGGGGGTGGCATCCTCTGTGAATTAAGAGACTTGGTCTAAATTCCTTAGTTCTAGGCTCCCTATTTTTAAACTGAGGATGATAACTGTGCCTACCTTGGGGGACTGGTGGCTGTGACAGGTAATGAAATGATCCTTATTAAGTGTCTATTGTGGTGTTTTGCACATAGAGTTAGCAATTATTGTTCCATCTTGTCCCCTCCTGGTTTCCATCCTTGGACACTGAAAGTCGTCCTTTCTCCTCACTTGGCTACCCACTCCTCTGACGTCCTCCTCCATCATTTCTGTTGCTATGATACCATACCAAGAGATGCAGGGAATGACTGCTTTATAGCACCATGAAAGGAAAGGGGGTCTGGTGGTTAGTTTCTATTTCCATAAAAAAGAGAACCAGCCCGACAGAATGGGAGAGAGGGAGACACCAACAGAACTCTAGGCAGGCAGGTTTTATTTTTTATTTAAAATTCCACAGGCAGTCCTGTAGGCAGACAGAGAAGCCACCACGCCACAGGTAGACAGGCTGGCAGCTCGTCACCTCTGTCAGGTTCTCCACAGCTGTGTGTTGTCTTCTGGATGCGGCTGACGGGGGTTAATCTGTGGTTATTGTGATTCTCTTTCCAGCTGAGTGTGGGAACTCAGTCACCGGCACTCAGGGTACTCTGCTGTCCCCCAACTTTCCTGTGAACTACAATAACAATCACGAATGCATCTACTCCATCCAGACCCAACTGGGGAAGGGGATTCAGCTTAAAGCCAGGGCATTTGAACTCTCAGAAGGAGACATCCTCAAGGTAAAAATCGATGACTGCATAGCGCATGCGTGTGAAGGTGTGTGCTCGTCCCTGCAGGAATGGTCCAAGCTTTCTCCTTCCTCCCTGAGTCCCAAGATGGTATCCTCACACAACTGGGAGGAAGTGAGGATCAGAAAGAGAGTGTACATGAGCATCTGAGAATGTAGGTTTGGAATGTGCTCAAGGGCTCCTGCCGCCATAGGTGAGTGTGGCTCATGGGAGTTGACTGCATCATAAAAATAACAGTAGTTCAGTTGGAGCAGCCAGTGGGCCAGGTTTTCCATTGTGAGTGCCGACTTTTCACGTGAATCATGAAGAGCTCACAGTGTGTGTGTGTGTGTGTGTGTGTGTGTGTGTTGTGTGTGTGCGTGTGCACACACATTTGTGTAGCTACATGTTTGTGGATATAGATACTTTTACATATATATTTTCACATGGGTGTGATTCTGTGAGAGTACTTGGCATCCTGCACTCAGATGTGATTTGAGGAGGCAGTGAGTGTCCATGTACCATGATAAAGGCCCTCGTGTGACATTGCCACTAAAGAAAGTGAGCTCAAGGCACATAAATATGTAAGAGAAAGAAAGGACAGGATGGGATGGTAGCACTACCGAGAGGGAGTTGGTGAGATCCTGACACACACACGTCTTGTAGTTCCCTGTGTGATCATGTGACTATCTCCAATAATGCACCCTGTGTGTGTTTACGTATGATCAAGGGGTTGATGTTGGAGAATCTATCAAAGAGCTGTCCTAATAAAATGGATTCTGAAGACAGCCTCGTCCAGAGTAAGTCTATTTTTATCCTAGACAAAGGATCTTTTGTAGTTTATTCCAATACAGTTTTATTCTCTATAGCCAGAGAAGTCCTGACATTAGAAGAAAAAAAAATAGAAGCAACCAAAGGTCACTACTCTGGAAATTCCATAGAGAAGCCATGAAATGCCCATCTTTTTTATGTTCAGATGATACTCTTGACCCACCCTGGGGCATGTGTTCTCCGCTGTGTGTGTGTGTGTGTGTGTGTGAGAGAGAGAGAGAAAGAGAGAGAGACATTTTTCACTCTTACTTAATCTCCTTTGAACCCAAGCTGCACTCATGAGATGACAAACTGGGGCTGGGTGTGTATGAAATAGGACAGAACAATCCCAGGGGGCTGTCATTGGCTTCTTCAGCTCTGCTTTCAATGCCGCATAGAAACAAGACAAGCGGACACAGGAGAGTTTGATACCCTTGTGATATACCCTATGATACCACACCAACAGATGCAGGGATACATCTGCTGTATGCACTGTCACAGATCCGCAAGCCAGATACATGCACAGATTCACGCGCACACACACACACACACACACACACACACACACCATGCCTTCAGGCCTCTCCCTGGATCCTCACTTCTCTCCATCTGCTTGCTCTTCATCAACGGCATGACTTCAGAGGACCTAACCAGCACAGCAGGGCAGAGAGGCCTCCTCTCTGTCATGGTGCAGATGAAGGGATGTGAGCTGGGCCATGCAGAGGCCTTCCTGGATGAAGGAAAAGGCAGCTTTGAGGCACAGGTCATAATTAGCAGATGTTGGGGGGTTGGGTCAAGTTCTGTGCACAGGGCTTGATAGGGGTGGAGGGGCAGAAATGGCTGCTGGAGGTCACATGGATCATGGCCAGGGCCCTAGCTCCCTCAATAGGGTGGTTCAGATTCAGGCTTTCAGAACCCAAGACTGGCCAACGGTGTGCCTGCACAACTGTCTGGCCTCGGCATCAGGTGATCAGCGTAACAGACAGGCAGAAGAGTGATTTTCCAAGGCAGCCAGGGTAACAAATGGGCAGAAGTTGTAGGGCAGAGGTCAGGGAGGCTTCACACAGGCACACCTGCAGAGTTGCAGGGAGGGGAAGAATCCCTGATTTTCTAAAAGAGGACCACCCCAGACTCCAGACCTGGCCTCTGCAGCCACATGCCCAGCCAGCCCTGCCACCCAGCTTGTAATATGGAGCTCAACCTTCTTGACAAAGAGTGTCCTGTGTCTGCATCTCAAACCTGCTCACTAGGTTGCATTGTGGTTCTGATGTGGCTGAAAGGCCACAAGCGTCCCTGTGACCACTGGAATTTCTGGAACAAATTCCTAGGGAATTCCTAGGGAAGGAAGAGCAATGGATTCCAGGAGATTGGGATAGCATCTGTGTCCCCTCCTAGGACCCTTATCCTTCCCAGACTCCTTACCTTCCAGAGGGAGAACCTGGGTCACCAATGGGTACCAGAACTATTTCTGGTTTCTTTTAATGAAAGAATTAAAAGAAACCACCGTCGTAGTTTCTCAGCAGAATACAGAGCCACCCTGCCACCTCAGGTGGCTGCAGCAGCCCTGCTGTTGAAGCCTGCCATCTGCTCTACTTCCACATGGATATGTGTGGAAGGAACCCAATGCACAACAATCCCCTCCAAGAACATCTGCCATTGCCCTAGTGTGACCGGCCCATCTGCCTGAATGCTGGTATGTTCCTAATCCCAAGGCCTTGCCTGTCCCTACGAAGATTCCTCTGAGCTCCAAGGAAATCTATCCACACTTTACTTGTCTCTTGAGATAGGATATCTCCTGCATCTGACTAACCCTCCAAACTTTCTTGCATTTCTGACTCATGAAAAATCCGTGTTTCCCTGAATGTGTTCCATGCCCTCAATAACTGCAGATTTCCCAGAATCACCCCGTACTTGTCACTCCAGCTTGTCTCCCATAACCACCTGACTTCTTTTCCTTTGGTCCCTGCCAGGTGATTTTGCTACTACCTTCAGATGAGTAAGAAAGGAGAGGCTTTTAAATGCAATAAGATGTTTGCAAAATGCAAAAGGAAACACCACTTCCAGCTCATGAGGGCAAAAGAAGCACATGCATGTAACTACATCCTCCACCAGTTCCCAGTAGAATAACCAAAGGGACATAAGACAGAGGAATGTGGTCTCAGCCCTAGAAATTGGGCAAAAGTGTCTTTCGCATAAAAGTTAAAGGAATTTCTGCCAAATGGAATATTCAAGGAAGAATCTGTATTGAGAAAGGGCCTAAGCAAATTGCAATTCATGCAAATGAAGCAAAATCCTGCCTGTTGGTTAAGGACCAGAAACCCAAAAATCCATGTAAGACTGTGTAGTTCAGAGCAGCAGAGCCTGGGACCAAGAATATAGACCACTGGCAGGAACAAAATCTCCATCCTTCTAGCTCCTCCAGACGGGAGCCTACATGGATTCCCCCTTGACATGACTTCCTGGCCTTCATTTGGCTTTGGGGGGGCACATCAGGAAAAGCAAGTAACACCATGCTGGTACATAACCAGGGTGGCAAGTCTCACTAGGGAAGGGGCTACCATCTCTCTACCGCTCTCCCTCTCTCAGTTGGAAATGCCTCAGCTTGCTGTGCCCTGTTTGGGCCTAGCTCTTCTGCTCCCCGTTAGAGACTTGGGGTGTTTACATTCTCCACTGCCATTCTCCCTCCACAATGATATGCCAACAAGGAAATTAACCAGAGGTGTGTAAATATTCAGGGGATCAGAAGGAGGAGGCCTGCCTGAGGAATCAGAGCTAATTGCCCCTCTGTAAGCAACTAAGGACAGAAACACACTTTAAAAGCTCTGAATTTGTATTCTTAACAGGATTTGAGAGAGTATTATATTGATGGCACAAAAAAAAAGGCAATAATGAAAACAGAGCCATCTGAGATGAGGAAAGATTGGATGGAGATGAAAAACATGATCACCCAATTAGAAAATGGAATGGAGGCGATGAATGGAAGAGAGTGAGCCACAGAAAAATAAAGTTAGTTCATTATAAGATGTGTTGAAGAACTTCTCCACATCTCATAAGGAAATGAAAAGGAGGGTTCCATTATATTAACAAAATGTACAATCAATCCACAGTAAAACTTTATGTGCCAAATAACATAATATAAATAAATTAAATAAAAACTGATAGGAATATAAAAAAATTAATAAAGTTACAGTCATCGTGGGAGATTTTAATGTACCTCCCTTAGTCTCTGACATGTCACTCAGATTAAAAATAAATAAGGATTTGGGTCGTTTGGATAATATAACAGAATAAATCCAAAGAAAGTAGGGGAAAGATACTTCTAAAGATGAAAGCAGAAATGACTAGAAAAAGAATAGCAATTATCTACAAAACCAACTGGTTGATAATGAAATAGATACACATGGCAGGATGAATCAAGGAATTAAAATGTGACAAATTAAAATGAGACAAATGTGTAATGCTAGGCATGAAAAAGGGAACATAATCCTTGATACAATAGAGATTGTGAAAAGAAGAAAATATTTAGAAACAACTGTTCTTTCAAGAAATCTGAAAGCTCAAGTGAAATGGAAATTTTTGTAGATGAAAAGTACTATGATGTAAATAAATGAAAATCTGAATAAACCAGAAACCATTAACAAATTGGAATTCTCCTAGATTCCTTCTCAAAAGCCCCAGGACTAGACTGTTTTACAGGTAAACTTTAATAAAACTTAAAGAAATAATGAATCCCCACAGTAATCCAAATATTCTAGAAAAGATAAAAATGAAGATCCATGTCCCAACTCTTTTTTTTTTTTAATGCATCAAATAGAAACCTGGATGACAATGAGGAGAATGGTGTTGACCAAGGCTGGGGAGTGCTGGCACCAGACCATATCAAATGGGATAGTCTCGATTACACAGGAGGAATAGGGATTTTTTCCTTGAGATTTATTGCAAAATATGATAACAATGATGATAAATAATAATGTACATTACACCACAAAAAGAATAAGTACTTGAGGTGATGAATATTCTAATTGGCTTGATTTGATTCTCCACATTGTATTCATATATCACAATATCAATTATCATGTGTCAATTTATAATTTAAAAATTAATTAAAAAAAAAACAAACTATTAGACCAAACAATCTCAAGATCATAAATCTAAAAATCCTGGCTATGATATCAGACTGAATCTAGCTGGATGATAAAGCAAAGATGACCAAGGGCCTCTGAGGCCAGGAGTGTGAGGATGTGTCAACTGTGGGAAAAGCTCATAATGTTTATTCTTTAGACGAATCACATGAGATTGCCTTTGTTATAGTCAAAACTGGCCAAATATTGGCCATTTCCTGTGACTCAACCTAACATCCTATAAACAGACTAGAAGAGAAAAACACACGATCCTGCTGACCCATTCCCCAAACATCAGGTGATCAAGTTCAATATCCATTCACAATTTTTAAAAGTATTCATAAAACTGTGAATAGTGCCTTCTCAATTTGATACAGTGTTTCTCCCAAACACCTACCACAAACACTGTACTTAATGGCAACACTTCCTGAGGATTTCTAGTGGCATCAAGCCCAAGAACAGTGACTTTGCCATCACCCGTAGAATCAGCATTGCACTGATGATCCAAGCCCGTACAATTATACCCAGAAATGAAAAGGAAACCATTAAAATTATTTATAGACAAGAGACATAGTCCATGCAAATAAACATCCAGAGAGAAATATATAGGAATATGGAAAATTGCCTCTCTTATTTAGAAAATACAAAAGGATCAACAAATAAACCATGAGAACTGATAGGACAAGTCAGTAAAGCAGCTGGTGTTTCTACAACCAATTATAATATGTAATCAGGGAGGAAAATCTCATTCGTAATAGAATAAAAACTATAAGCCACCTAGGAATAAGTCCTCCAAAATGTGGATAATCTTTACTGAGAAAATTATAAAGCGTTATTTTAAAGGAAATATAACTAAAATAAATGCAGGGAGATGTCCTTCCCCATGGATGAACAGCCACTCACGGGAGAGAAGAGGGGAATTGTTGATACTCAATTACCACAGCCTCAGTGAGAATCAAGGAAATACAAATTAGAGTGAGATACCATTTTGCACCCATCAAACTGGAAAAAAATTATGCCTGGAAATACTAAGAGCTGGTGAGGATATAAAATGATGAAAAGAGCCATCCACTGCTATGGGATGGTATTGATTGGTATTCCTCTTCTTCAGAGAGCAATCTGGAAATAGCTAGCAAAGCTGAAGATGTGTCTTCCCTCAACCAGCTTCTTGTGCTGGAGAAACTCAAGCCAGGCATGTTCATGGACACAATAATGCTTGCATTGTGTTTTAGTCACCTTAGTCGCTGCTATGACTAAAGGATCTGACCCTAACAACTGTAAGGAGGAAAAGTTTATTTAAGGGCTCACGGTTTTAGACCTCTTAGTCCATAGGAGGCCCACTCCATTCCTTGGGGCTCTAGGTGAGGCTAAACATCACGGTGGAGTGTGTGGCAGAGGGAAGCAGCTCACATGAGATCAGGAAGCAGAAAGAGACTCCACTTGCCAGATACAAATATATACCCAAAGCCACACCCCAACTCCCACCTCCTCCAGCCACACCCTACCAAGTCAGTTACCACTCCCTTAATCCCTATCAGGGGATTAAAACATTGATTGGATTAAGACTCTCACAACCCAATCGTTTCTCCTCTGAACCTTCTTGCATTGTCTCACATGTGAGATTTTGGGGGACACCTCACATCCAAACCATAACACATCATCACTTAGCATGTTCATTTGGAAACCAGCTGCCTTGCTAACCTGTCTTACTAGATGTCCCGGACATGTGTAGATTCTCCTGGATTTCTGAGAGAGATGTTCCCCTCTCCCTGTAACTGATGAACTGGATCATCCAGCAAGAGCCTGTGAGGAAATAAATGTGTGCAAAGGCCCAATTCCCTAAAGCAATCGAAAATATAAAAATACCCAGGAATAAGTAGAGAAATTCACTGAGAGACATAAATGACAACTTGATTAAATGGAGTCAGACACCATGAATATGGATCAGAAGAGTTAATATCCCACAGGTGCATTTTTTCTCAAATCAATCCATACATTTTAATGTAACTTGGAATGACACAAGTTTTCTTTTTTGCATATTTGCTTTATTTTTTTTAATTTGGGGAAATTCTTGAGTTTATCTAGAAGAGTAAATATGGGAGAATTTTTTAGGTGGAAATGAAGACTTTCTTACTATATATTTAAATATGCTATCAACCTACACAAACTAAAAACATGGGTCATGCACAGGAATAGACAAATAGCCAAATGCTGTGGAATAGAAGGTTCACGAACAAACCACATTTACGTAACTATATATGAATTACATCTGAATTTAAAAGATATATGAATTTAAAATTGGTATTAGAAGGAACATTTACAAACAGGCTTTTGTGAAATGACTAACCAACTAGGGAATAAAGGTAGAATCTTATATGATAGGCCAAAATAAATTCTAGGTGGATTGAAGAATAAAAATGCTAGAAGCCAGGTACTATGGTGCATGCCTATAATCCCAGTGGCTTAGGAGGCTGAGGAAGGAGGATCTTTAGTTCAAAGCCAGCCTCGGCAACTTAGCAAGGCACTAAACAAATTAGCAAGACCTCATCTCAAAATAAAATATATTTTAAAAAATGGCTGGGGATGTAGTTCAGAGGTTAAATAGCCCTGAGTTTAATCCATGATTACCATCCCCCACAATACTAGAGGAAACATTGGTTTATTTATTTACCATATATTTTCTGAGTGCCAGGACGCATATTCTGTACACTGTTGTGCAAGTAATTACGTTGTGGATTGGGTTAATGTTATGATGGAAATCCCTGCAGCTATTTAATTGCCACTGTGAAAAAATACTTAATGACTTGAAAAGTACACACGCTATGTTAAGTGAAAGAGTTTAGGGTTGTCTACTGTATTGATAGTTTGAGCTTCTTTTTATAAAATAAAAAATATTAATAAATCTAGGTAAGGAAAGTAAGGACAAAGCTTGGAAGGATTATACCAAAATCCAACAAGTACTGAGAGTTGTTTTTCTTTTCTCTGTGCTTTTCTGTTTTAGAAGTTGTTCTGCAATGCACATTTTATTGTAATTCTACAAAAACATTTTTGTGCCTAGCAAATGAGAATGAATTATGCTTTAAAATTAAAGAAAATATCCTGTACTCATTATACTTTTTATTAATTAACAATAATTTCTTCATACCATCATCCATCCAGTGAATGCTCAAATTTCCAATGAGCTCATAAATGTCATAGTGTTTTTTTAAATTTACAGTTTATTCAAATCAGTCTCTAAGGTCCATTGGACAATAGTAGATTAGTTATCTCGTGTGTTTGTTAACCTGTAGATTTCTCCCTCCATCTCTTTTCTTTTTATGCTTGTAATTTATTTGTTAAAAAAAAAATCTGGCTGTTTGTTCAGTGGAATTTTTCACACTCTGGATTTTGCTGACTTCCAGCGCATAGTATCATTTTTAGTATTCCTCCTTCCTCGGTATGTCCTATAGGATGGGAATTGGATCTAGTGGCTTGATCTGATCAGGTTTGACTCTTTGGCAAGGTGATTCCCTAGATGGTGATCTGTTTTCCATTAAGAAGCTCTTGATGTTTAGTTTTCTGCCTTATGGTGATGTTAGCAACTGATGAGAATTAACGCCTTGATCCATGAATTCAAATGTATGCCTCAATGGGTAAAAATATTTTTATAATAATTTGGATACAGTCATGGGCTAAACTTCTGAATTGGTGCCATCTCTGTGTTGGTTGGACTCCAGGATCCTCTCAGTATTTCAATAATGTAACCACCAACACATCAGATCTGGAAACAGACTTAAGGCTCCCAGCAGCCTAAATGAATCTCTGTAATCTATAGCACTGTGAGCTCGAAGGATGGCTTCCTTTACAAAGTGCTGCTTCATAAATAGGAGGATGGAAATATTGTTCCAATTTGCTGGCAGCTGGCTCCACATTGTGCACCATGCACAAATATTCATCACCCACCCATAGATCCCATCTTTGATATTTACTAAAGCACCAGGGGTTCTTTCACTCAATCACAACTTCTGTTGTTATTTGTACAATTATCTAGGAAGGAGCAGCAACCTCGAAACCTGGGGAGCCAGTTCATTATTCTGATGATTGTTGTCTTTGCTGGTGCTCAGAAGTTCAGGGGACAGATGGGAATCAGGGAGGCCAGATGCCTGTGCCATTCCACCCTTGGCAAGCCCAGCAGGCCCTAGCTGGAGCCCTCATTACAAGGGGAAGGGGCAGAGACTGAGCTTGGAGAAGGGAAAGTCACCATACCCTGCTGGTCATTTTTACTCCATCCTACCTGTGTTCCAGGGATCCTGTCCAGCAGATGGTTAAGACAGGTCACCCTATGGTGAGATGGGAGTCAGGTCCTCTCCTCTCCTGGAAGGACGGGAGTGGCTGTTTAGCAATGTAGAGATGTCGAATGCTTTCAGCCCGCCTGTCTGCAGAAACAGATGGCTGGGGAGTCAGGCAGTCCCAACCTGGCCTCCCCAGGCTGCTGAAGAGGAAGCTGGTGCCATATGAGGGTTGAGGGACCAGGAGCAGGTTTCCCTGGAAAGGTTGGAACGGCAACCAGTTTTCAAAGATTAGATTCACAATGGAGATGGGCTGGGCACAGCACTGACACCGAGAGGAAACAGGACAATTGATTGGTCAGCCGCCAGCTTCGTGCTGCCACCTTCCTTGCTAATGACAATTAACTACCCATCTAGCAGTGGTTGTCAGTGCTGACACCTGGGAAGGTGGGCCATGGGGTGTGACATGTGGTCAATATAAGGCCATGCTGGTGTTACCAGATTGGGATGTCTCCTGCCCAGGTCTACGATGGCAACAACAACTCTGCCCGTTTGCTGGGGGTGTTCAGCCGCTCTGAGATGTTGGGAGTGACTTTGAATAGCACGTCTAGCAGTCTGTGGCTGGATTTCATCACCGATGCAGAAAACACCAGTCAGGGCTTTGAGCTACAGTTTTCCAGTAAGTCTTTCCCGCATCTGAATGGACAATGAAGTTGGGCTTTCTCATTGTACTCATTTGTTTGAGCTCCTGTTTATCTGGTAGACATGCTCTTATAGACTATTTCAGAGTCCAGTAGGTCTCCATCAATTGAGGGATGGATAAATAAAATGAGATATGTCTGTACAATGGAATATTATGTGGCCATAAAAACAAATGAAGTAGTGATACATGCTTCAACATAAGTGGGGCTTGGAAAAATTACACAGTCCAAGAAGACAGTTACAAAGACCACATAGTATATGACTTCATTTTTACAAACTGCCCAAAGCAAGCAAATCTATAGAGACAGAAGGCAAATTTGCTGAGAGTGCTGAGAGAAAAACTCATCTAGGCTGCTTTTTGAGGTGATAAAAGTGTTCTAGAACCAACAGTGATACCAGTCGCACAGCTCTGTGGTTAGATAAAAGAAGACACTGAACTCTACACTTTAGATGGATGAATTATGACATGTGAATTGTGTCTCAATAAATATATTAGGGGTTTAAAAAGTAAACAATGTCTATTCAGGATCCCCTTGTCTGGATGTCAGGCCACCTGGCGAAGGGATCTTTGCCTATTTCAGAGATGGCTCAGTGCATGAGGATTAAATAGACTCAAATTTGAATTCCATTTCCATTACCTGAAAGTCACATGAGTTTGGAACAATTTATTTAACCTTCCTAAGTCAATGCTCTGGGTTGTAAAACGCAGATGATTAAACCTACCTAAGACTCCTGTGAATTAACAACTGAGAGGCAGCAGATGCCAAGCCCCATAGCAGGAGCTCTGTATAAGTCAGTTTCTTCCTTTTCCAACAGAATATGTTTAAACAGGGCATAATGAGGCTCTTGAATGTACATTTAAAGTGACTTTTCCGTATTATCCTGTCCCATCACAATGTCTCAGAGAGCAAATTGGAAGGAACAAGTCTCTAGCAAAATGCTGTGGGGTCAACAAAAGAAATAGAAAATCCAGCGCCTAGGCCTGAAAACTATTAAAAAGCTGGACTCATTTACATGTAAGCACAGGGGAGAGAATGTTCCCTGGAAATGCTGAGGGATCCCAAGTGGGTAGCGGTGGCCGGACGTCTTCCTGAGAACCTGGGATTGAAGGAGGAGCAGAAGTTGGGTTTCTGCCCCCACAGGTCCCGCTCACTCTGCCTTTCGTCTCATCTCCAGGTTTTGAGCTCATCAAATGCGAAGACCCCGGAACGCCCCAGTTTGGCTACAAGGTTCATGATGGAGGTCACTTTGCAGGCAGCTCTGTGTCCTTCAGTTGTGACCCTGGCTACAGCCTGCGGGGCAGCCAGGAGCTGCAGTGTCTGAGTGGAGAACGCAGGACCTGGGACCGGCCGCTGCCCACCTGTGTCGGTAGGATGCTCGTGCTGTTCAGGGGCCCCCCTGGTCTCCCCTCACCTGAACTCCAGCCTTGGTCTCATTAAGGATGCCCAGGGCTGGGGGCTATCTACCTGGACTGGATCCTCCTGCTAATAGGCCTTGTGGCTTGTCTCTTCCGCATTTCCTCATGTTCACACCTCATCACACGTGTGCAGCCACACAGTCAGGCACTGGCCAGTCATTATCACACATTTAGCAAGTGGAACCAGAGCCAAATCCTGCCCTCAGGGTGATGGGAGAGTGGTAGACGAATCCATTAAAAAGGGGGAGGTGAGATTTTGCCTGGTTTCCGGGGCTTCCTACCATACCGACACTCCAACAAGTCTCCCACTTACTATGGGTCTCAGTTTCAATGTAAGCAAAATAAGGCGCACGCTCCGTTTTCTGGGAGAATGTTGAAAGAAAGGGTAAGATAATGAACCCTCGCCAATCTTCACTCTTAAGAACATGATTTAAGCTTGCATCTTCTTGAGCCCCTGTTCTTCCTGAACATCAGCAAAGGGTCTCTGGAGGCGGTGCGCAAGTGTCCTAGGACAAGCCACAGTCACCTGGAATGAAGTACAAAATAGGCAAAATCAGACTCTCCGTTTGTCCGGGCTTTTCCCCTCCCTGCTAATCAGGATTCCCACCACACTGTCTGGTCTTGCTTCCCCAGTGGCGGGTCCTGCCCTCTGCTCCCTTCACCACGCATCAAGCCAATGCATCAGTGCAGCTCTGGCTGATCTCATAAGAATAAAACATCTGGTGGGCAAGTATGTAAGTGCCCCCAAGCCCCACAACTGGGCAGGTGTAGGCCTGGGTACATGGAGGCAGAGAAAGAATGAAGTCTGTTTCCTGCCCTCAGGAAACAAAAGCAGATGGTTATATACAAGGTCTTCACTATAAAAAGGGCTGTGTGCAAAGTGTTGGGGCAGAGGAGGAGTTTGCAGCTCAGAGTTGGAAGGAAGGGTGGGTGAGAATTCACCCACAGGAGAGGCGAGCGGGGATGGGGGACTTTCTAGCCTGAGCACAGGACCTACAGACAACACTGCAGTAAGTGTCAGTGGCCACAGTTGGTCCTTTTCCCCCCGAGAAGGTTACATTTCAACAGGATCTGCAATGCGGATACACAGCAGAGAATCAAGGGACAGAATTTTAAGTCTGAAAGTAGGACCAGGGCCCTCACCTGTAAGGAGCCCCCAGGGACTTCCTCTTCCTTTGTCCTCACCGTGGGCCTGGTCTATAGACATGTCCCTTCTCTTTTCCCTTCACCTCTCTTTTCATTTCTTTCTTTTATTCACATGCCAAGCCCTATGCTAGGCCCTAGGAATGCAGAGAAGAGAGCTCCCAGGCCAGCCAGGGGACACATGACTGTACAGCAGTGTGAGGCCTCAGGAAGGAGAGCCCAGCAAGCCGACTCTCAGGGAGGAATGATGACTCACCTTATAAGAAATGTATTTGCTTTGCAGAAAAGATTTACTGTAAGATTCCCTTGACCATCAAATATGCCCACTGGACTAGACTTAGAGGAGCCACTCAAGGCTGGAAAGAATATTTATACTGTGAGCTGTAGAGGCCTTCCCCACGGAGGTCCATCAGGCCCCTCGCTTTTAGCAGGGTGAGGCTGTGTATTGGGGATTATGCGGGCATATTTTCAAATATGTCGCATGTGTTAGACTCCAGCATGCTCTATCAGAGGCAACGACCAGCTTCATCGATGAGTAGACTCAGCAGCCCAACATGCAGCCAGGGCTCTAGGACAGAAAGGAGCAGAAGTTAGGAAGAATAGAATCTTACATCTCATTGGTGAATCTGAGGCAGGCTGGCCTGCTCGGCCCCCTCCTGCCCACCTGCCAGTCCTCAGATAACATGATCCTGTGGGGGAAGAAGAAGCAGTTGTGCTCCTATGGAAGAGCCCCCAGGGCTTCTGCATTCTGAACATTCACTTACTGGGAAGCAGGAGGTACTTCCTGGGAATATGGAAGGAAGCTCTGGCCAGGGACAGAGATGATATCCTGCCACTATTCCAGCCCCTTCCTCCATTGGTGGGGCCAGCAGGCTTCCTCCCCACAATTGTAGTCCTCTCCTGGATGCCCTGCCTTGTCCCCTTTCACTCTGGCTCCCACCCCAAGGCACCATGGGAGGAGGGCCCTCAAGTGAAGCTTGAGCAAAGGGCGTGGTCTCCTGAGCACACTCACGGGTAGGTGGTCCTTGGGGTCCAGGAGATGCTTGGTGGGTCTTTCATAGCAACAAGTGAAGGTCACTATCCCATCTGGGACTTTGATCCCATCTTCTCCTATGGCTTCTAGCATCTCACTTTATCAATTATTTCCTTTCCCAGATAGCACTGCCATGAATCTCTTCCTCTCTTGTTTTCACTCATGCACGTTCAACTCAAACACATAGCATAATTTTCCTGGGAAGCAATAGCTTCTTTCCTTTGTTCGATCATCCACCAGTTCATTCAATAAACATTTATTAAGCTTCTATACTGTGCCAAACACCATAGTCGGCACTTGATGTACAAACATGAGTAAGACAAGGTCCCTGCAGCCAAGGAGCTTATAGTCTGGTGCAGGAGATTGACATTACTTTAATAACAAGTTATACCTCTTCTGACAAAAATCCATTCACATTGTAATGGAGATGCAAAGGAAGACAGTGTCAGCACTACCGGAGGAAGGGAGGGGTATTGCAAAAGGTTTCAAGGGAGGGTGTTTGTCAGGCTGTCAGTCCAAGTAGCAGAATGAGGAGGCCCAGCTGCCTGGGCAAATGGAGCCTGTAACACTCAGCGGGATCAAGGGGTTCGTGGGCTGGGGGTGGGGTAAAGGGAGCCCTGTGGAGGGTTTAGACTAAATTCTGGGAAGGAAGATTGAAAGCATGAGTGCACATTTGCATTTCGTAAAGATCCCTTAGCTGGCACTGCTGAGGGTGGGCTACTGTGCCAGCCGAGAGATGGCAAAGGCCTAAGCTAGGACTCGAGAAAGAGGAGCTAAGTAGAGTCAAAAGTGAAAAGAGTCACAGAAGTTCGGAGACTGGATACTGGAAGCAGATCAGACATGGGAAAGGAAGGAGGAGTAGGGGAGCCACAGCTTGCAATTTAGGTGACACTTCTCACTGGGAATACACATCTCTCTGCAAGACTCCCTGTCTCTAGCTTCAGCCCTCTGTGACCCTCAGAGCTGGAGGACCATGTCTTGGTGGCCTCTGTTCTCCTGGCAGCTGGCACATGCTCCCTTGCCAGTGAGCAAGTGCAAGTGCTTGTGTTTTCTCTCTAGGGGACTCTGAAGAGTTTGGTCACAGAGTAGCCAGGCAGTTCCACACCCATGGACCTGTTTCTTAGTAGGCTTATTCACCCACTTCGAGTGCACAATTTAATATCTTCACAGGGCTGCAAAGTTCCCTAATGTGTAAAGTGATAATTCACTCACATGCTTGCATGTTGCAGTTCTTCCTTATGGAAGTAAGCATCAAGTGTTTACATCAATACGTTAATTCTGGAACATTTTCCCCATTATAAAGAAACCCTATATCCATTAGCAGGCACTTCCCACTAATTCCCTGGGTCCTTCACAACCATTAATATACCTTCTATCTCTATAGATTTACTTGTTCTGGATATTTCCTATAAGTGGAATCACACAATGTTTTACCTATGGGTCTGGCTCCTTTCACTTAGTGTATGCTTTCAAAATTCATCAACATTGTAGCACGTCTCCCAATTTTATTCTTTCTTGTGGCTAATATTCCACTGTATAGATTTATCAACTTTTATATATATTTTCTTCACTTTATGGACATTTGGGTTGTTTTTACTTATTAGCTGCCATGAATGATGAGGCTATCAACATTCATGTCCAAGTGTTTGTGTGAGTGTGTATTTTCATTTCTCTGGGGTGCGTACCTGAGCACAGAAGTGCTGGATCGTGTTTGGTAACTTTGTTTAACATCTCGAAGAACCACCAAATTGGTTTCCAAAGCGTCTGCATCATTGTCCCATTCTGTCCTTGATAAGAGGGTTCTCCCCACCCTCGCCCACTCTTGTAGTCTGTCTTTTGTTATATCCATCCCAGGAGCTGTGAAATGGGATCTCATCATGGTTTTGATTTGCATTCCCCTAATGGCATCATTGCACATGGATATTGGCCATTCACCTATCCCCTTCAGAGAAATGTCTATTCATTCCACTCCCTTGCCAATTTTTTAATTGGGTTTTGTGTCTTTTAAGTATTGAGAATTTGTCTCAGGTTCTGCATACAGTTCTCATCGCGGGACCTGTCTGTGTGCTGGCCTCAACCTCCTGGAGTGGATGAGAGTGACTTGGGGCCCATGGGCATCCAAGGAACTGCTGACTGACTGACTGCTGACAGCTTGGGTCACTCTGCGGAACTCACGCTTTGGGGATTTCTTTCAGCTGAGTGTGGAGGGACGGTGAAAGGAGAGGTGTCAGGGCAGGTGCTATCGCCGGGGTATCCAGCTCCCTACGAACACAACCTCAACTGCATCTGGACCGTGGAAGCAGATGCCGGCTGCACCATCGGGTAAGTGTTGGACTTCCAGAGTAACCCTTGCTGTCCTTTGTGGGTCACCAGGCTGCCCCAGCTCATGCCTGGTCCCTCCTGCCTCTCCTGGAGGCCCTTGGGATCAACGATGGTTGCCATAACCCTTGGCTTGGACTCTTTCCCATGGAAAACCTGGACAGGCTGGTGTCAGCCTCCCAGGGCTGCAGTCTAAGTGCAGAAAACAGGTACAGCAGTGGAGGAATGGGCTTGGAGCTGTATAGCCCCAGGCTCGGATCCCAGCCTTTCCACTTACTGCCTGCAGGACTTTGAAGAAGTCAAGTCCCTTTACCTCTGGGTGTCTCACTGTCTTCTGCAAAGCATGGGACAGAGCACTTGAATGATACACTGCCTGGAATGCACTCAGCCAGCATTTGGAACACAGTGAAGGCTTGATCCTGGCACCTGTGCCTGTTCCTCTGATAGTCAGTGAAGGTCAGCTCAGAAGTGTATGATCCCGGGCAGGCTGCTTCCATTTCTCAGTGTTTCCTCATCTGTAAAATGAGGACAAGAATGCTTGTATTGCGGGGTTTGGGGGCAGGGAGTAAATAACAGAAGCCCAGTGGTGCCTGGTCCTTTGTACCTTCTCCCTCCAAGTATAGCTTCCTTCCCACGTTAGCACCTGACTAATAGGAATTCTTTATTGGAATTCCAAGGAACTGGGAAGGAGAGGAGCATCAGCACTTCTCACCTCAGGACCCGTCTTCTCCACCCCTCACCGTAGCCCTGTGGATAATAACAATATGCCCTGACATGACATAGACATTATTATGATTCCCATTTTATACATGAGAAACCTGAGATTCCAAAAGAATGCATGTCTAAATTGCACAAGGAGGCAGACAGCTTGGGATAGGAACCCAGATCTTTATGAATCTTTTCTCCATATCCCACTGTGGGCGAGTCTGGTTCTTGAGCCCAGTGAGTTAGAAGGTATAGAGCAGGTTGGGGTGGCAGCATGCATGAAAGGTGTGACAGGAGAGTTGAACAAGGGAATTGTGGGGTCACCAGTCTGGCTGGAGCAGAGGATGCATATAAATAAGGACAAGAGTATGGCTTGGCTAGGGAGGGTCTTCAGTGCCAGTAAATAAGGGAGTCGTGGTGGGCTCTTGAGAAGGATTGGCTCACCAGGGTCCTTGGCAGTGCAGAGAGCCCATGAGAAAGCAACGATCAGGAGCCTGTTCCAGCCATTTAGGAATGAAGTCCTGAGGATTTGGAAAAATGGTGAACCAAGAAAAGGAGAAGAGTAGCCAGAAGAAGAACCCTGTTCTTGAGAGTTTCAATAAAAACTGTCTCAAGGATTACCTTGTTGCAAGAGAGGTAGACGTAGATTCACTGGGGGACACACGTCCTGAGACTCAATTTAATTAAAGTTAAAGAATGTATTAAGTGTTTTCTGTGTGCAAGTTTTTGAGCTGCACCCTCAAATGAGGCCAGTAGTACTCCTAGGGACTTCGTACCACTAGGAGGATGAATTCAATAGACACTGTCATCCTGAACAGCTGGGATGCGCTTCCAGAAGCACAAATGATCCATTCAGCCTCTGACTAGAAGCCTCCATGGCACCCCATGAAGCTTGGCTCACTCCACGAGTAAAACCTCCACATCTCATCCTGGCTTTGGGGCCACCATGACCTCAACCCTGTTCCCCACCACATGTCTTCAGCAATATTCTGGTGACACTAGAGTCTTGAAGGATGGCCAGGAGGTTTCCAGGTAGCCCAGGAGGAAGGCTAGTGGGAGGGGAAGGGCCATCTCTGCAGAGGAAGCCTGGAGGAGCTAGAAATGGTTCCCGTGACTAGACGGTCACCTGTACTTGGTGGGTGGCCATAGCCACAGAGGAGATGGAGCTGGTGGAGCAGGTGCAGCCAGAGCTTGGAGGGCCATGGGCCTGGATGGCTTCTGGCAGCTTCTGGGTGGCCTGAACCTGGGAGCCTCATGAGGAGGCCATCTCCAGGTGTGGTGATGTGAGGCAGTGGCAGCAGAGAGGGGGAGGAAGAGGCACATCCAGGGGACATTTAAGCAGCCACACCAGCTGAGCTCACTCTTCTTAGTAAATATGGAGATGGGGGTTTCTTCACTTCCCCCATGTTTTAGTGTGTAATAGACAATAGGTAATATATGCAGAATATCTGGGGGAACAGTGTTCCAAGCACCTGTCCACCTGCCACCAAGGTTCAGCCAGGCTCCTATTTTGTGCCTTCTGTCTTTTTTTCTTCTTCCAATCCTTTCCTCCCTCTTTTTGGTTGAATCACTCAAAAGTACAGTGTAGGCATCATGTATTTGTCCAAAGATAAAGATGATCTCCAGGACAAAACCACGTTGGCCTTCCTAACGGGCCCCATGGCTTTCCTCCAGGAATCAAGGCTTAGGAGCAGGGTTGGAGGAGAGCAGAGCAGATCTGGGGGCCATGGACAACAGGGAAAGCACAGAAATAAATCAAGGGAAGTCTGGGCACAGGGGAGGACATCTTTGCTAATGGGAATGACCAGTGGGTGGGGGATGGGCCGGAGGCTGGGGTCAAAGCCAACCAGGACATACTGTCTCCAGAGGGAAGCCTGGGGTTTGCTGAGTGTGCATGGGGACCCGAGGTGGGAAACAGGATGTGAACAGGACATCCCCACTCGGGAAGGCTCCTGGGAGCCACAGCCAACCCAAGGGAGCTAAGTAAGGCAGGGGTCTGCACTGAGCACCCAGAGTGGAGATGGAGGTGCCAGACACACCTGCCTTCCTCCAGGGGGCACAGCAGGCACAGGAGCCCATCAGCACTCTTATGGGTACTCACTCCCTCTCCTTGGCACCTCCCTCTCTCTCCTCTTTCTCCTTCTTCCTCCCTCCTTGTCTCCCCTCATCTGCTCTCCTCCCTTCCCTCCCTTCCCTTTCCTCCCCCTCTCCTCGCCTCCCTCCTCCCTCCTCTCCTCTGTCTGTCCTTCACTCTCTTCTTCCTCCCCTCCCCTCCCCCCACACCCTCACCTCCCTTCAGGAACAGCAGCAAAGTTAAGGGAACTAATAATCCCACAGACATGAAAAGACACTTTTTGTGTTTGAGTCCTTATTTAGTCAGTTTTTTAAACTGGGAATATATTTATAGAATTTTCTATATAAAAAAAATAGGCATGCATTTTTAAGACTTCAAAAAGTAAGAGTAAGAAAGGTGATGAAGTATGCATCCACAGTCCCCACGATCTTATCCTGTCATCCTGCTCTCCCACACACCCACGTGAGGTAACCGTTGATATCTGGATGTTCTGCTTTATTCTTTTAGACATTTTGCACACCAACAAATACATAAAGCTAATTCAGTAGGCATGGTTCCTAAAACAAGATCATCCCAACACATGACTCAGAGACTTGCTGTTTGTTTTGCCACTTAATCCTACCGCACCATCTTATTATGTCAATATGTATAGATCTGCCTCATCCTGTCTGATGGCTATAGAGAATTCTATTATGGCCATCATTTATTTAACTACTCCTGTATTGACAAAGTGAATATTTTCAAGACTTTAACTCCAACAAACATCCTTATCATGACTCTCTGAAGAGCTGTCCAATCATTTCCTTACGGTATATTCTTAGAACGCCAATTTTGGTGCATGACCTCAAATTTCCAAGTTACAGCAACTTACAAGTTCACCAAAGGTCTATGGGACCAGGCTTCCCACACAGCCCGGCTGAATGTTGTCCATCCCTTGTGTCTTCACCAATCTGATGGACAAAAGGCTGTTTAATGGATCCACCCAGTCACATCCTTCTTTGGGGTAGCTTGTCTTATTCATATAGAGTGTTCATTTGGGCTCATTTCTAAATATTTCATCATTTCAGTGTAGGTTTCCTTTAAACCCAAGAATATCTCAGGATTTTTTTTTAAGTTACTAAGTGGTTATGGTGATTATAACTGCTGTAGGATGGTGGTTAAATGGTCTCTTTAAATTTTTTTTAACTTTTACTGCATCGAGGCTTTTTTTACGTTCTGAAACTTTCTGTTGTGTTTATCTTCTGTGGCTGCTTAAGAGCATAAGAGGAGAACACAGTTCTCTATTTCTCTCGCATCAAATGTTATTATGATTGCTTTCAAATGAAATGGATTCTGCCTCTTTACGACTTTTAGTTTTGACTCTCTTTGTTGGATGCTGATCTAATTTAATTGGCTTTGTTTTCCGCCTAGTGATTGAAAGTTCTCTATCCTGTCTTTATTCTGCTGGTGGTGGTCTGGTTTTATTTTTGTTTGTTTGCTTGCTTTTTGTTTCGGTACTGGGGATTGATCTCAGGGGCACTCGCCTACTGAGCCACATCTCCAGCCCTTTTTTGTATTTTATTTAGAGACCGGGTCTCACTGAGTTGCTTAGTGCCTCGCTTTTGCTGAGGCTGGCTTTGAACTCAAGATCCTCCTGCCTCAGCCTCCTGAGCTGCTGGGATTACAGGTGTGGGCCACCGCACCAGGTGGTCTGGTGTTTTGCTAATTCGGTTCTAGAAGGTGACCATCCTGGCACGTACTCCGCCTTTCATTCTGGAAACCTTGCTTTTGTTTTTATTTCATTTTGTTCACAACTGTCTTGACAATCTTCTTTTGTTTTTATCAAAATCATCGTCTTGCTTCTCCCCAAGGATACTGTCTATGTTTGGTTTTACAATGTCACTTGTTTGATTATTCAGCTGGGTTCTTTATGTCCCGTGAGTTTTGTTCGTGCAGCCTCAAGTCCCAGCTGAGAGCTGGACTCCCTGCCAGCCTGCCTGCATCTCCTTAGCCACGCAGCCACATCTGTGCCTTAGTCCTCCTGTCTGAAAATTAGTGATCAAAACAGTGCAAACCGCTGGGTCGCTATGGCGATTAAGTGAGCCCCTTAAAAGAGCAGCCAGCACCGGAAGCCGGGTAGCTAGTTGTTCATTTTACACACCCATGGGCATCCCGTGTGCTCAGAAGACACAGGTGACAGGTGGTGGCTGCTGTGTTGTGGAGCAGGAGCAGGTGTGCCAGTCGA